TCGTTTTCATCAATCATCAACAGCCTTTACTAGTCCACTGCGTGACATAGGAATCTCCTTAGAAAGTAGGCCTATTATAGGTAGTTTGGGCTATTATACCACGATCTCCAGACGGGATGGTATAGGGTTTGTTTCAAGTTTTCCTTCTCTTTGCAGTGCTGTTACTGTTACTCCCTTCGTCAGCTCTTACGAGATCCACGATATAAATAAGGGTGGTGAAACTCTGTATTCTTAATCCGTCACCACACAATAATAATATTCCATCTACTGTCGCATAAAAATGCAACTTAGAGTAGCGTTTTTTTATCCTCTGGCATTAATACCTTTATCAGAATTCTACTATATCGAATCTTTCAAATATTTTTATTCGTTTTTATAGCACATCATGACTATACCTAATATAAAAAAATCATATAAATTTTTAAGTTACCCTAATGTCTACCGTCCTCTCGTAAGAGTATTTGTTAAAAAATATTGCTATTAAGGTATACCACATAGACCAAGGCGTAAAATAGTACAAAGTAATTAAAAGTTAACACTCGCAGTGCAACCATTCTGTCGACGAGTAAATAATAAAAGTGAAACACTTAGTTTATGGTTGGCCGTGACGCCACTTCCGTTGTTTGTAGGGTGGGCGGTTTGTTTTCTTTTTCGGTTTCCGTGATTATAAAAGTAGTATTTGCAAACAAATATTTCAGATTTACTGAAAAAAAATGTATTTTACTTAGTATGGTAGTGTGGCGGTGTGTGTGGTCACATCACATCACATCAACAGCCTTTAATAGTCCACTGCTGGACATAGGCCTCTCCTTAGAAAGAATGTTTTGGCCTACTATACCACGCTGGCCAGACGGGTTGGTATAGGGTTTGTGTCAAGTTTTCCTTCTTTTTGCAGTGCTGGTGTCCTGCATTGTTTTGCGCCCTTAGTCGGCTCTTACGACACCCACGGAATGAATTGGGGTAGTGACATTGTGTGTGTGGTACGGTGCAATAAACTTGTAGGTTTACATTTTGTAATGAATTATAAAATATAAATCAATTACTGATAATTCAGTTATGGCAACTAAATAGATTTTGAGTATAGTCAGAACCTCTACTGCCCAGCATGTCAAAAAAAAAAACAATACATAGTATTTATGTATAATGTGTACTAGCTAATACTATAAATGACTATTTGTTTGTTTATTTTTTTGTTACCGGTAAAATACCCATAACTGACACGACCTTCAATAAAGCATACGACCGAAAAGAAGATAAAAGCACAAAGCCCTTATTACATATTACATTTTTGTCATGAAAGATTAGTTTATCCGCTAGGTTTGATTGATGTGCCAATAGACGCTGACGTCTTGTGTTTTCAGTCTTAAAATATTAACAATTATTCTGCCTAAATATTCCAATCTAGTAAATATGACTGCACAACTAATATGCAAAAATACTAGCCGCATTATACTGCATTTTATTAGTACTATATTTGGTGTACAGTATAAGAGATTTCTTACAAATAATCTCGTCCACTCCACGACACCGCAGGCGTGTAAATAATACATTTGTAGAATTACTGATTTTTATCATGGAATAGGGGCAAACGAGCAGACGGGTCCTGATGGAAATCGACTACCGCTGCCCATGAACGCCTGCAACTCAGGAGTCACAAACGCGTTGCCAGCTAATACAAGCCCGCTTATACCCCTTTTATTATTTACGAGAATATAAAAGGCATGTACCTACGGTACGACTGCCGGATAATATAAAACATAGTTACAAAATAACTAATAAACACGCAGCTCTTTGCGGGCGACCATTGTTAATGTCCATTCACATTCATCTCAGACAGGGTTGGCAAAGTATTGTACAAATGTTATTATAATTAACGTTCTTTTATGAATAATACTCGCAACTGACTTCGTCAGAATAAATTTAGTGATGAATATTATCAAAATAGTTATATTAAAAGGTTATGTTTTTATCGGTATGTACTGTACTACTCTTAAATACTACAGCTTAGACAAAGTATTACAGAAATACATTGTCTATTACTTTGTGGCAAAACTTAATGTTAAGGATTCTATCTTAAACGGGCCGTTACCGTTAATGGCGGGTCTCCATACCAAAAATATTTGGAATCAAATTGCATCGTCTTGGAGAGAAAACAATTGAAAAAAATCGCATATAGAATAGTAAAACATAGAATCTATGTGTAAAACAATTTTTGTTTGGTAAAGGCTAGGAAAAACGATATTAGCATTTGATTTTTCTAGTTACGCACGGCTTCTGATTAAAAACTTCATAAGAATGGCAAAATTAAGTGTTTTTTTTATCATATTCTAATAAAATTACTGTATCTATAGACTAGATCTTAATAATTCATAATTTATTTATTTGCTGTTCAAAGTATACATGTCCTTCTCGGTCTACCTTAATAGCATGCAAAAATTGTTATAAAATAATTGTCAATTGATTTAGAATAATAAATTACATTTGTCAATCATCATCTGCCTACCCTTTTCCCAATTTTATTTGGGGTCGGCGCAGTATGAATATTATAAATTACATTTGTCAATAAACATATCAAATAAAAATAACAATATAAATTTCAAAATGTCAAAGATACAATTATACTTTGATTAAGAATACGGAGTGTCACCACCCCTATTCATCTCGTGGGTGTCGGAAGAGCCGATTAAGGGGACTAACTACGCAGGACAACAGCACTGCAAAGAGAAGAAAAACTTGAAGCAAACCCTATACCAACCCTGGCCAGCGTGGTATAGTAACCAAAACCTCTTTCCTAAAGAGAGGCCTATGTCTAGCAGTAGACTATTAAAGGCTGTTGATGATGATGATGATACTTTAAGTTACAAATAAATTTATTTAATTAAGCAACAATAATAAGATCATCCCAACAAGTAATAATGCAAATATATTCTTATTTTCCTGAGAGAAAGTCACTTATTGCATAGCAGTATTTCTTTACTAAAAAGTCATGAAGGCCTTCTTAAATAGATTATTATTCTATTATGTACACAATACAATCGATCTAAACTGCACTGGATGGCGTAGTGGTTTAAGCGGTTGCCACGCCGCTTCCTACTACGCCGAGTGTTGTGGGTTCGGACCCCCCACTTTGTGTGATCCACAAATTGTTGTTCTGAGTCTGGGTGTTCTTTGTGTCCGTTTCATGTATGTTTGTAAACTCCCCCGCGACACAGGATTTATTGCTAAAAAAAAAAAAAAAAAAAAAAAAAAGAAACTGTCAACCCTACTGAACTAGCCCAGTTCATAATTAATCGTGCAAGTGTTGTCAAGTTCGACAACCCTGAATTGTTTTAACTTTTGTTCCCACTCGGTAGAACTAGTTCCGTACACGTGTCGGTGGAAAAAGTTTGACAACAGCTGCCCTTTGCCACATTATGTAGTCGCAGTTCCTCTCATTATACGAACAGAAAGTCTCTACGGAGTTCGTTACAATGAAGTTGGGGTTATACTCGTAAAAGAATCGGTTATGTCATAGAGTATTAAATATTTTTAGAGGATATATAAAAATTTAAGCACTGTTCTAGATTCGTTTTATGAGCTCTAAAGTTGGAATGTAGATCGATGTCGATACTCAAGCTTTTAGGACTGATTTCGGGCTAAGCTCGAAGCAAAATAAACTAATATTTAGAACAAAGCGTTGTTATTGTACACATGTCATGTTTTAAGGTGTTTAGCTGCCTTGATTTTTTCTTCAAAACTTTTCCATTAAAATTTGCTAACAACTACAATTTCTAAGTGACTATTCCATCGAAAAAGAGAAAACTTTTCTTCCATAATCCTAAGAAAAAGTCTGTTAAAAAAACAAGATAAAAGAAAAAGTTACGACGGCAATTTAGTGATTAATTTTGACTAAAATCAGTTACATTCTACAGAGAACTAGTTTAGGCAATTGAATCTTGCGTGCCTAATCTTCATGATCGCAGTCCAAGAGTTGATATTTCAACTAATGGCACATTAGCCGAGGTCCAACTTAGGTTGCCTGAAAGTACCGTAACACATTTTACTTTTAAAACAACTAGGCCACACAAAGTGCTTTGACATTTTACTAGCTGGTAGTTGATTATGTCACGCGAGAAAGTCTTTATAACAATTCCTAGTAAGTATTAGTTACTTCGCATTAGTGCTTTATGTGTTTAGTGAAAAGTACAGAATTGATTTGTAATACTAACACGTAGAAAGCTGCTTTTATGGTGTAGAAGGCTAACGACAGGAAGGTGACTATGGTTGGCCATAGGCACTCGAAACTCAAGAGGCAAGTGTTTTGCTCTTTGAGTGCTCTAATAGTTTAAGAGGGGAGGGAGAGAGGGGGTGTTAAACTCAGATTAAAACAAGGAAAGTATTGCCTAAAACTGTTTTTCTGTGAGGCCGTAGTATCCGGCTGAGTGAGAGAGAGATATAGAGGCGGCCTATATGTATGGCTACTATAGCAAAAAAGTAGTTCCCGTAGATGACGAAAAGGTCTTAAGGATATAATTGTCTTAAGCACAGCTTGCTATGTTCTGAGTAGTCTCCAAAACATATTTTTAACTTGGAAAAAAACATCCCATCCCATCAACAGCCTTTAATAATCCACTGCTGGACATTGGCCTCTCCTTAGAAAGGAGGTTTTGGACTACTATCATCATCATTATCATCATTGAGAGAGTAAGATTTATGGTTAAAATATAAAAATACTGATATTTTTCAAAAGAGAATGTGGAATGAGCGACACGTACTTTTAAGATAAAAAATCGGCTCTTCTTTCTCATAAACCGCTCGTTTTGTACAAACTTATACGTGTGTTTTCGTTTTCGTTCATCCTGGGAAACGATTCTTGAAAATTTAATATTAGACACAATTGATAATGTCGTTCAAAAAATACTCTAACAGTAACATTTTCGATGAAATATTTGTTTTTAATTGCAAAAACAGTTTATGTGATTTCGGATTTGCTCAAAGATCCTGCAATTTATTGCATTTAATTAGCAATTTATTGCATTTAGTGTGAATGGAAGTGTCTTGTAGCCACTGACCTCTTTCACAGAAGGCTCCCTCATAGTCTCCATCCCGACACTCGCAGATGGGCCCGTCATCAGTGCTGATGCAGACGCCGCCATGCTGGCAAGGGTCACGGCGCTCACATGCATCTCCACTTGCGTTACTAATGCGTGCCGACTGCAACAAAAGAAAAAAATCTTTTAATTTATTTAACCTTTATCTTACTAAGGTGAGCGATTTTTTTTTTCAAACTTATTTTTCCACATATATATATGCTCAATTCATGTCAGCAGTTTTTAAACAAGTACTTAAACAACTAGTAATAATAACTTGGGACACCTCAGACATTGACCACGCTATGCAGTATTATATTATAAGAGTACATACTACATATTGTCCGTGTAGTGACGGATTAAGAATACGGAATGTCACTACCCCAATTCATCCCGTGGGTGTCGTAAGAGGCGACTAAGGGCGCAAATCAACGCAGGACACCAGCACTGCAAAAAGAAGGAAAACTTGATATAATCCCTATACCAACCCGTCTGGCCAGCGTGGTATAGTAGGCCATAACCTTCTTTCTAAGGAGAGGCCTATGTCCAGCAGTGGACTATTAAAGGCTGTTGATGTGATGATGTGATGTGACATATTATAGAAAAATTACACACACACAAAGAGTCCGTGTGGTGGCGGATTAAGAATACAAGGTGTCACCACCCCTATTCATCCCGTGGGTGTCGTAAGAGCCGACTAAGGGAAAAAACTACGCAGAACAACCGTACTGCAGAAAGAAGAAAAACTTGACACAAACTCTATACCAACCCGTCTAGCCAGCGCGGTATAGTAGGCCAAAACCTCCTTTCTGAGGAGAGCCTTATGTCCAGCAGTGGACTGTTAAAGGCTGTTGATATGATGTGATGTGACACCCACACACAAAACAAATAATCGTGCACATGATACAATTATTTCTTCTAAATAAACCGAACCAAGGACCCATGACTTTGCTGTCAAAGTTTACTAACCAGTAGACCAATAAGCTCAATTAACTGATTAATAATAAATATTTGGCAGCATTTAGAACTATAACTTATTTTTGAGGCTTATACAATCAAAACTAAACCTTAATAAATAAACATAACGGCTCAATATTCAGCATAACCAAGTATTCTACTATCCATTAAACAAAATAACGACGGCACAATGTACCACACACTAAATTTTCTTGCATCGTCAGCTTTTGCTGTTATACGAGTATTAATGAAAACCCGATCACTACTAATTACTGTTTGATTAGGATTTTATGTAAGGTAGGGGATATTACACGAAAAAAAGACACCTCTCTGGTTTGTTTCGGCATTTCTTCCCAGAGTGAGTCTTAGGAAATAGCAGCACCTTCTAGCTGTAAGTCCGACTTGTAAAAATATCTGAAAAGATTTGCTTACAGAAATAAATATCAATTATCATTTAAATAGTAAGTAGAAGAATTACGTTAAGTATTCCTTTTAAGTGTAGTCATTTATTCAGTCAGTTCCAGTCGAGCTATTGTTTACACTCTCTAATACATCTGTATAAGTAAACAATATCCCTTTCCTATAGCTTTCATTTCCCGTTTAAACTTTTGCTTATATTGAACTTTCAATTTTCCGGTTTGTGTAGCGGACTGCTAAGCGAAAGTTCGCTTCGATTCCCGCTCAATTCAAACATTTGAGTGCATGAACATTTAATTGTTGAGGTTGTCTGGGTGTTTCTATGTATAATATGTATGTATTTACAAAAAAAGTAGATATTGATTTATATTATCAGTTGTCTTGTACCGATAGTTCATAACTCTGTATATTTAATGACTCTATGGAAAGAAAGAAAGAAAATTAAAAAAAGTTAAAATGTTTATTTTTAAATTATTACAACCATTTTACATATTTTTTACTTTTGTCAAACTACAGGACAGTTGGTTGGCAGACGTAGCTCCTTATATAATTATTTTTAATTTGATACAGAAAACATCCTTCCTTTACATTTTTTTAATAATAATAATAATTTATTTTTAAATATATCACATTACATGTTACATTTACTGTGACACTAGACAGATCCAGTGTCGTAGCTATCAATCAATACGATTGTCTTATGCCTAGGACTTAACTTTATATATTATATACTTAACTTATTATATAACAGAAATAAGAAACACTTATTTGGAAATAAGTGTGTTTATTACTAGTCTAATTACCATAGCTCACACTCTGCCTAATTTGTAATCAAATGGTCATGTCTGAGATTTATGAAATTTAAATAAAAATAGAATCGAGTAGGTATATCACACTCACCTATGAAAAAGCTTTCACACATCATAAACTATAAAAGAAATGTTACTTATTAATGCAAATAACATGTTATTCATCAGTCGCTGGTACCTGCGATTTCGTTTGAGTGAAATTTGAAAATCACTGCCGTGGGTTCGATTTTAAAGGGTTTTTCTGAGAGGAAAAAATTGCCTAAGTTATTCCTTATGTAGACAGCTACCTGGTAGTAAAATATTATCGAAATCGGTAAAGCCATTTAGAAGATTACCCGCAACAAACAGACAGACAGAAAAAAATAACTGCTTTTTAGGCATCGTGCAAATAACCGTGTGAGCATGACAAAAACCTATAATTTTGACATTACAAACAGACACTTCAATTTTATAGATGTATGTTTTTCAAAGGCAGATTTTTATCAAAGGCAGTTCCTAAGTCTTTTATAAATGACAATTAGAGTTAACCATCTTGCTCACACATAATTATTTCAAAAATGTTTTTAACGTCAATGATAGAGACGTAGAATTACAACTTAACTGGGTTACGACAAAACCAGGCAAAACTAGTAAGACTGGTGTGTGCTACTATCAGATTAAAGTTTTCGTCAAGCCAGTCCCGAAGATTGAGAGAGACCGCAGCGAGAGGTCTTGAAATCAGCTGGTAAAAGTAACTATATTGATATAATTCACTAGCTGACCCGGCAAACGTTGTTTTGCCATTTCAAAAGAATTGTCAAAAATTAAATAAATTAGGGGTATGAAAAATAGATGTTGGCCGATTCTTAGACCGATGTGCACAAAAATCATTTTTATAAAAATCTCTCCAGCCGTTTCGGAGGAGTATGGTAACTAACATTGTGACACAAGAATTTTATATATAAGATACTTCTAAGTTACAGTTCAGCTCTTAATCAGATTGTGATCTAGTCTCTAGACTAACTCGGCGAGTTAGGCAGTCGGGCATAATATACCAAGATAACTAGGACTGTAGTTAATGTAGGGCCATGAGAATAGCGTGTTTCAAAATATTGCTTTTATAGCTTGTTACTTTTCATAAATGTATTGAAATTATGATTTGATTAACAACTACTTTTTTCCGAGAAGTGCTGCTTTACCATTACATAGCTGTCATAAGCGAATATTTAAAATTACAACATAAAAAAGTGTCAGAATATAGGTATAGGGTATATAGTAATATAGGGTGACCCACCCCTAAATTTTTAAGTTCAATATTTCCTAGAAATAATGTATATGGCAAAACAACGTTTGCCGGGTCCGCTAGTTTCTATTTAAAAATACATCACAGCGATCTTTTTCAAAACTTAAGGTGGTTTACAAGCAGACAGTATGATCTGTAATACATTTTTAGATGTTCCCAACCTTTCTCCATCAACCTATGGGAGTGATTTCGTTTCTTAATTAATGATAAAAATAATAAAGAGCCTCGACCAACATCTTCAGAGGCTCGCGTTAGGCAGTTGGATTAAGGGCCTGATGAAGAAAGCAATTCTTCTCTGTACGGCACGTATTGTGAGGAGGTTTCTGTCTCTGGAGACCTAACCACCGATCTTGGTCCCTGTACCCGATACCGATAGGACACTTTTTTTACACGCTTTATATTAGCTTCACTTGTATGTTTGTTTGTATGTTTGTAACCGACTTCTTTGGGCGTGATTCGTTCAAACTTTGTAGATATATCGAGGACCGATGACCGATGACCGATTAAAAAATAAAATAAAAAAACATAGTTAAAAAACTAAAAAACACGCTTTATATAGAAAACCAAACTAAACAATAGGAAATAAATTTGATTTTTTTTTATTACATAAATATATTTAAAAATGTAATTATATATAATATATATTTAATGGAACAAAGAGAATAATAATAATATTTCGGACATCTGACAAACAACGCCATCTAGTTTCAAACTAAGCAGAGCTTGTACTATGAAAGCTAGATTGACTGATAGATTACCTTTATACGTTTTTTTTGTAGATACATACATTTGCAGTTCTAATATGAGCACGGACAATTGGTAGGTGAAATTTCAGAGATTACACATCATATGCGACTACTTGAAGACTTAGAGAGTCTGCCTTTATTCATTTTACATTTGATAAAAGCCAACCAACCACAAAAAGTCACCGCAATAGGTGACTTTTTGTGTGTTGATGTATAATCGGTACTTAATATTATACATGCGACAGTGCGTCCGCCTGTCTGTTATCTCTTCACGCTTAAACCGCTTAACCGATTTAGATGAAATTTGGTATAGAGATAGTATAATTTTTATCCCATAATAACTGCTGAACGATTAATATGAAACTTGGTATGGAGATACTTTGATTATTGAGAGAACACATAGGCTACTTTTTGTCGCGATAAGCGACATTAACGCGGACGTAGTGCGTTGTTATTATTGTTTTTTTTTTACACTAAAACAATGGACGAATAGATGAATTCGAATAATTATTGACGATTAATTTTAACAATAGAGATATTATATTTGAATGTGATTTTATCTCTCTCTTGTGATCCATCTATACAAATAAATAAAATTGGAGTGTCTGTTTGTAATATTAAAATAACCGCTTTTTACTAAATGCATATGTATGTTTACACGGTACATATGCCAAAATAACATTTTTTTCAATTTTTGTCTGTCTGTCTGTCTGTCTGTTTGTTCTGGGTAATCTCTGGAACGGCTGGACCGATTTCGACGGGACTTTGACTGGCAGATAGCTGATGACATAAGGAGTAACTTAGGCTACTTCTTTAGACTAGCTTCCCCCCCACGGCGTTGCCCGCGGTTATAACAACAAACGCGGGTAACACCGCGGGTCTCAGCTAGTACTTATATAAATGTAAAAAAGAGTTTGTTTGTTACGCTTTCACGCCTAAACTACCAAACTGATTATAAGAATTATTTCACCAATGGAAAGCTACATTATCTGTGAGTAACATATGGTACTTTTTACCGCGATATATACACGCGGGCGGATCCGCGAGCATAATTTAATATGTTATAATTTCGAAAAATTATTTATACATTTGATATACCCTACGACCCTTAGGGGTGGAGCAGTTACTATAATGTGGCTAAAACTGCGTGTAATGACTAGTACAAAATATTCCAAGTTCTTTATTATTACAATCCAGGCATGTCTCAGGTCTTTCTTTAATGTTCGTGTATAAAAGATGATGAAAAAACATTTTTGCCGTCACGTAAGCCGTGAGCTACTTTATGTTATTTTAAATACATACCTATAATCTTATGTCAAAGGCATGCATGCAATTTAGTACCTTCTAATAAGTTGAAGGATTTGTACAATGTTTTGATATTTTT